CCGGGAAGCCGGCTGCATGCTCTCTCGTCACAAGTGACGAGAGTGCATGCAGCCGGCTTTCAGCAATGTGGCACCACAGCAATGTAATCCTCACCCCTCCAAATGGTCTCCTGATTTAGGGGAGGAGTCAGCCGCGCAGACTGAAGACCGATACAAATCTGTAATAACATTGCGGCGTTCTCTGTAAGAGATTTTCCATCCTCCGATCGTTCTCTGCAGACAATACCAGAAACCCATTATGACCCACTAAGTGATATCTGCTGATGGTCAAAGCACGTACCATCGGGAAAGGAGCAATTACCCTCCAATCCCAGAAGTCCCAGCAAACCACAAAACGCGTTTCCGGCTGTTGACTCATTTCAGTAAAAAGTATTCACGCTGAATGTTCAAAGACGATAACCCGAGCCGCCTAGAGCCAGGCCAAAGCCGTGTTCCTAGCGTGTCCATGTAGTCGCACATACGAGTCTGATTGACAGGACAAGCAAAACAAATGGCAAACGCACTCATCAATTCGTTACCAGCTCTAAGCGCGGTGCACATGGGAGGGGCTTACACAGTACAAACAGCAAAAAGTTTCCCGGCACACTCACCAGACGGCATGCAAAAAAACTTGTCTCACCGCTAAGGTTAATGACAGAGGTTTAGATACACGTCTTCTGCAGAACATGTGAAAGCCGCACTGCCGCGCCAAGGCACCTCCTATATAGTGCGGTCCTAACTCTAAACTATGAGAATCTCCATCTTGGAGCACATGGGGCAGAAGATCACATTGGGTGCAGGTTTGTCAGGAGAACAGCCGTGGCACTCTGGACCATCCCTATAATGAGACGCATGTAGGTGTGCCCGCCGCCCCCCTTTCATGGCCAGAGCGCCCCCAATTTGCAAAGATCGCACGTTGTAAAAACGCAAATGTTCCGTATAAAACGCTCTCCTCTAGGGATGCACCGGTACCAAGTGGTTGGGTCAGTACTCGTACTCGCCCAAATGGTCTGATACCCCAATACTGGAGAGTAAGAATTCCGGTATTGTTCCCTCGTGGCACTGCCGGTCACAGGGAGATTTCCTCTGACCAGCAGTGCTGCGAGGGGACATGTATACCCCACCATACCAAAATCATACCCCACCATGCCAGGAGCATACCCCACCATTTATACCTCCACTGTACCATGAACATACCCCACCATTTATACCCTCACCATACCAAAATCAAACCCCACCATACCAAAATCATACCCCACCATGCTAGGAGCATACCCCACCATTTATACCCCCACCATACCAGAACCATACCCCACCATACCAAAATCATACCCCACCATGCTAGGAGCATACCCCACCATTTATACCCCCACCATACCAGGACCATACCCCACCATACCAAAATCATACCCCACCATGCCAGGAGCATACCCCACCATTTTTAACCACAATGAAGGTGTCAAGGCAGATTCTGATTGTCCAACAACAGGTTGGGAGGTGTGAACATTGTGGACCCCCCGTCACGCAATGAACCTTTAAAGTGACAGCTCACACTACTGTCCTATTGCTGAATAAACCCAATGTAACAATGTAACAATGTAACAAAGAATTTAAAATAAGACACAGAGAAGAAGGGAAAAAAAAAAATTATGTGCAAATCTGTCTTTTAGCATGTCCCCGTTTTCTTCAGATCTTGCACTACTTTGCCAACTGCATGTGTTTTGCACGTGTTTTCATCTGCACTTGTTCTGGGCTGTCTGAAACTGGAGCATCACCTAAGAAAACACTCACAACTGAAGAAGTCCCCGTGACCGCTCCTTCAAGATGTGACAGTTCATCTTTTTGCCCGGAGTCACGAGTCTTCTTTCCTGGAGTCTATTAAACCTCATTTATCAACAACATTGCACTCGCATCATAAATCCGGTGCAAATATATTCCGTGCAAGTTCAAACACTCGCAATTGCTATGATAAATCCCCCCGCCACTGTGTTTTAATAAATTGAAGGGTATTCCGCTACGGTTCACATGATCCCCCCAAAAAATCTGCACAACCGTTGCCAAGCATTGA